TTATTTACTGAACACACGTTACCTCATTTAATCCTCATAATCCTTTTAAAGTATAAATGAGTGGAAAAGATACTAACCAATCTGCCATAAGTCGAAAAATTTAGGAAACGGTGGGGCCCAGAGTCGAGCCCATATCCCTATCACAGCCTCTGTCCTTAAACCACTGATTCAGCCCAGTTCCACTCTGTACCTTACGTTAAAGAAACGAGTCAATGATCTCTTTTAGGGGGATAGGAAACAATAATGAAAATAATCGCCCCTAACAAAGGGAGTCATCATCGTGACCTGTGTGATCCGACTCCTGCACAGCCGCCACACACAAGTGTGCAGGGAGGCCTCCGGGGAACCCGACTTGCAGTTCTGGGGCTCCCGTCCCCTCTCCTCTTTCCCCTCTCAGGGCGCCCCAGCTTCCCCGGCTCCGCAGGGTGCCGAGACTTGAGTCGTAGCCTCGGTCAGGCCCAGGAGGCGAGGCCCTAGGGCTAAAGGCTAAACAGTCGCGGCTCCCAGGGCCGGCGGGGAGGGGCTGTCAGGAAGAAGCGGAAGCGTCTCCCGCGCGAGCTCCAGGTCTCACCTCTTTGCCTTCGTCCCCTTGAGCACGAGCTTGGTGGACTTCACGTAGGAATATTCTGCCATGTTTCCGAAGGGACCAGACACCTGACCTGAAGCGGGAGCGCAAAGTTAAGGCCGATGGAAACTCCGCCGAAGCGAGCAACTGGGCTGCCCGCGCGCCTCCCGCGCTCCCGGGCCTCACGCACCCGCGCCGCGGCATCCGGAACCAAAAGCTCCACTTCCTGTTTACGCGCCGGGCTATGGCGGCCGCAGAGGACCAAGTCTGTCAGGCGCGCCCGCCCCTCCGAACGCGGAAGCCCGCGGGGCTCGGGCAGCAGGGGCGGCGTCGCGGGAAGGGAAAGAAGGGACCCCGGAGATGAGGGGACGGGAGGGGACCGGGGGTGAGGAGAGGACACCGAGAGCCGAGGGGAGGGAAGGCGCGCCGGGGCAGGGGTGGACCCGAGACCGAGGGGAGAAGGCCGGGGGTCGAAGGGATAGGGAGAGGGGAGGACACCGGCAGCCCGGCGCGCCACTGGGGATTCCGGCGAACCTTCCTGGGCTTAACTAGTGATTGTTATGCAGGAGACAAGTAGTGGACAATATCAGATATTTGGGGGCCTCAGTTGAGTTGGGGGGCGGGAGCAGGGTTTGGCCTGGAGGCAGAGGCTATCAGTGGGTTTGGGAGGTGGGCCTGGCACCTTTTCCGCGGCCTCCGCGGGCCACAGGGTGACCCCTGGCGGTGACTGTCCCCGGTGTCGGTCTCGCGTCTGTTGTGAGCAGGTGGGTGGGGTGGGGATGGGGCCCCAGCGTCAGTTAATAAACTGTCCCCGATTTGGCCCCCTCAGCCGCCCTGAATTCTTAACTGCACTTCGACATTGTTTTCAACCTTTAAGATGAACTGCGGCATCCTTTCTTTCAGAAGGCAGTCTTGGAGTGACCCGCGCTTCCTCCAGCACCCTGCTGTATAACTCTTAGACTTTATAACTCTTAAGACTTTAACACAATTGTGCGCTTTTATTTTTGTTTAGAACAGGAGCTGTAGCTTATTGGTTCTTGTTTGCACATCCCAAAGCCTAAAGTTAAGGTCACTGACCCATTGTGGGTCAGTGAAGGGGTGTCAGGAATGTGGCTGGACTGGGAGAAACTGGAGGGGAGTAGAAATGCCACATCATGGGGCCCTTAGAAGTATCAGTCGTCTCTGTAAGCCACTGTGCTTGAGGGATGCAGAAGATGTTTCACACTCCAGGCCGGATGTTACTTACGGGCCTTCATCTGAGTTAAGGATGGAGCAGAGCCTGGGCACACAGACTTGCCTCTCTCTTCCTAAGCTGGGTGAAGTGGGTGGCAAGTTCTTTGACCTCAATCTAGCTAAGTTTCTTCAGCTATGAAATGAGATGAGACCTCAATGCAGGATAACACTTTTTAAAAATCCCTGATAGGCGCAGAGTGCATCGTGAAGGTTACCTCTTATTTCTAGACAGTAGAATGCCTTGAGAGAAGTATGGGGAAATAAAGCAAGATCTGGTGGCAACATGCTTTCAGGTTCAAAGGAGTAGGTATCTATGTCTTGTTCCAAGTATCAGGAGAAGCTTAATAGTTGAGGTGGCCTGTGAGAAGGGGCTTACACAATGAGTGGAATTTTGACAGATGGAGATGGGGTGGGGCAGGCAGGTCACATGGCAGAAGCAGCAGGGGCAAAAGCCCTGGAGGTGGAAAAGGGCAGGGCTCTTGTGCAGGAGGACAGGGCCTGTAGAGTGGGGTTTGGGAACTAGGAGTGAGAAGGTACATTAAGGTCCTCTTACAGTTGGAAAGTTTTAATGAAAGCAGTAAGCTGTTGAAAGTGATGGAATACATGGGTCATTAGGAAAGTTCTGAGATACACAAAAATCCAGAAATGTAAAATCTGCGTGGACAGAAGCAATGAGAGCGCTCCCAGCACCACCCAGAATCTGAGGAAGTTGAAATTTGCACCAGTGAATCACAAAGGACACTGTCGACTGTTTCTTAGAGGTGAGACAACAGTCTGTCTCAGAATTTTTGTACAGAATTACCTAGCGAGGGAGTGAGAAGAAGAGACCAGTCAGTGATCAGGGGTGATTATTCTCAGCAGTGCTTTTGATAATTTGTGCATGTGATGCCAAGATCTTCCCACTTAAGCCATGGCTTTTTACATGAAGTGAAAAACAGAGACCAGTTTGGCTGCAAGAATCTTAGGAGATATTAAATTCATGATTTTTGGTGGCATCATAAATCAGAATTGGCCCATCTCAGACCTGACTCTGGAAACAAAATCATCACAAGTGATTTATAGATTACTGTTCTTACCTACTATTCCAACACCTCCAGTATCTTCACAATACTGCACTTTCCTATTCCTTACACCATAGGAATCCACATGCCATGATCTTCATCAATAAAGGAGACTGAAAGGGAAGCTATTCCTGTTGGCTTTTCAGGGTTTTGACAAAATTCTCAATTTCCTCATTTGTTAAAATGGGTTTAGAAATAGTATCTTTTCCGGCTGTGAGGGTCAAATGGTGTAAGTCACAAAGGTGCTTACAATGCACCTAACAAGTCTTCAGTGGATGTTAGCTGTGATCATCACCAACATCAGTATTGGATGGTCCATCACATAGGAAGGCTGAGATGGAGAGAATGGAAGATCAAAAACTAAACCATGCAATAGAGTCTACAGTATGGTGATGCAATGAAGAAATGAAGATGAGGAGAGAAAGAAGCTATGAAAGAGGAATGATCAGGGTTAGAGTAAAATTACCAAAATCAAGGCAAAGGAGAATTTCCAGAGGAGTAATGTTACTTAATAATGTAGAAGTTTAGGAGAACAAGATGGCCTTTGGGGACTTGACATTGAGGCAATCTTTGGAGAAGCATTTTCAATATGGAGGGAAGTTGGCTTGAAGGAGTGAGTAGGTAGAGAAATAAGAATAGTTTACTATTGACTGCTTGAATGGGGAAATAAATAAGGGATTGTATATTCCACATTTCTAGATTATTTATTTTTCCTTAGATTTCTTTCCTTCTTGCCCAGCCTTTTTTGTAGACTAACAGCCAAAAGTTACAAAAAGTATAAACAAGACCAGCTAGGTGCAGTGGCTCATGCCTTTAATCCTATTACTATGG